GGAGAGGCGCCCATTGGGCATGCCGATTCTCATGCCTCTCGCCACTTGTTAGAAATTAAAAAAATAAAATGGAAAACGTATTACAGTAGTTAAACTTAACTTGTTAAAAAGCAACAGTTTTAGAAAAATATTTAATGAGATAAAATTTAAATATTACATATTTCCAACCTCCTTGAAAAGTCTAACCAACTTGATCCTCTCCAATCTGGTTTCCATCCCTGCTACTCCACACAATCTTAATTAAAATCACCAGTGACATTCAAACTGCAAAAGATGATAAAAAGTTAACTTTCCTCAATTTCAATTTCAATTTTTTCAATCTTTCCTCTCCCAACGCTCACAAGCTGTCGCTATCCCTAATCAACCCTTGTCTTCCTATCTTACTTTGTCCGCAGGACCAGTAATCAGCAGCAGATATGCTAGAGGCCCAGGGCTCTAGCATATCTCCCCTCCTTTTTAGTTCTTATATCAATGACATCCATAATTCAATCCTTCACTGCTCCCATCACCTTTACGCCGATGACTCCCAAATTTACCTTTCCTTCCATCCCTCAGAGTTGCATGAAGCGTTTGCCAAAATTCAAGAAGACTTGAATTGGATCAGTGCCTGGGAAAACCTAAATGGATTAAGATTAAACGCTGCAAAAACTCAAGCCATTGTCATTGGTTCCAAACCCCTTCTCAGAGCCAATACCAACATACCTATACTGTACCTAAATGACCATCCCATTACCTTCTCCTCCTCAGTAAAAAACTTAGGCATTTTCATAGACCAAACCCTATTCTGGAAACACCATATTGCCCACATTACCATACCACATAAGGTAATGTGAGCAATATGGTGTTTCCAGAATAGGGTTTGGTCTATGAAAATGCCTAAGTTTTTTACTGAGGAGGAGAAGGTAATGGGATGGTCATTTAGGTACAGTATAGGTATGTTGGTATTGGCTCTGAGAAGGGGTTTGGAACCAATGACAATGGCTTGAGTTTTTGCAGCGTTTAATCTTAATCCATTTAAGTTTTCCCAGGCACTGATCCAATTCAAGTCTTCTTGAATTTTGGCAAACGCTTCATGCAACTCTGAGGGATGGAAGGAAAGGTAAATTTGGGAGTCATCGGCGTAAAGGTGATGGGAGCAGTGAAGGATTGAATTATGGATGTCATTGATATAAGAACTAAAAAGGAGGGGAGATATGCTAGAGCCCTGGGCCTCTAGCATATCTGCTGCTGATTACTGGTCCTGCGGACAAAGTAAGATAGGAAGACAAGGGTTGATTAGGGATAGCGACAGCTTGTGAGCGTTGGGAGAGGAAAGATTGAAACCATAGGATAGAACTATGGGAAAAGCATAATGATTTTAATTTAGAAAAGAGAATGGAATGGTTGATGGAATCAAAGGCTTTGGAAAAGTCAAGGAGTATAAGGACAGTTAGTTTTTTGTCATCAATGGCGGACTGAACATCATTAATGATTTTAATTAGGGCGAATTGTGTGGAGTAACCTGGTCGGAAACCAGATTGGTAAAGGTCAAGTTGATTGGACTGTTCAAGGAAGTTGGAAACTTGGGATTGCAAAATTCTCTCCAGGGGTTTGGAAAGGTTAGAAAGGATTGAGATTGGCCGGAAATCTTCAGGGGAAGACGGATTAGAATTTTTATTTAAAGGACGGACTGTGGCTTTTTTCCACAAGGAAGGGAATACTGAATTTTGAAGAGAAAAATTGTAGATGAAAAGGAGTACCGGAAGGATTTCAGGGAGGCATAATTTAATTAATTTGACGGGAATGCCATCTGGACCAATAGAATTAGAGTTTGGTTTCATCACGGCGGATATGAGGTCTGTGGGAGAAATATCTGAAAAATAAAAATCGGCGTCATTGAAAGATGTTCCAGGAGGAAAGAAGGAAGGGGGAAATGGAGGAGTTGAAGAGGAAGCAGATATAAAATAAGAATTTAAGTCATTTGGTGAAACTGGGAGCACTGCAGAGGGAGGAGATCTGGTAGGATCACAAAGAGAGAGTTTAAGAAGGAGTAGCCATTTGGATTTGGAATCAGGAGCTGAGGAAAGGGCTTCATGGAAATAGGTAGATTTGGCTCGTCGGATTGTGGTTTGTGTCAGGTTGCGGAGCGCCCTGAACGCTTGATAGTCGTCAGGCAATCTAGTGCGTCTACGGGCTGCATCACGCCTCTTCTGAAGATCCTTAATTTCCTGACACATCCAGGGAGCAGGAAGGCGACGAAAGGTGGAGGTTTTGAGAAGGGCATGGTCATCAAGGATATTAATAAGATAGGAGGTGAGAATGTCAACCATGGAATCAATTGAGGTACAGGAATATATTATATTCCAATCTAGGGATTCTAGGGAAGGTAAGATTTTTTCCCGAGTAAGGCCATTAAGGTTACGGAAAGTTACCGTTCTCAGTAGGATCGGAGGGGTTTGGATATTATAGGATATTTGGATTAGGTCATGCGACGATAAAAAGGAAACTGGTAATTGGGAAGAGGAAAGGAGGTTTTGAGCGGAATCAATAATGTACAGGTCCAACCAAGTGTCGGACCTTGCGGTGTGATGCGTAGCAGAAAAAGGAAAGATAAAAAGATGAAGGGAGAAAAAAAGGTTTTCTAGGTATGATTTGTCGCTGGAGTCGAGGAGGAAATTGGTGTTTAAGTCACCGGAAATGATAATTTTGGAATAAAGGGGCACAAAGTTAAAGAGGGAAGCTTCGAAAGACGGATCAAACGGAACAAGAGGAGGACGACATACCACGGAATAGAGGAGATGAGAGGTGTTACAGGAGATTTCGACGGTCAAGAAATCGACTTGTGGCTGATCGGTTGGAGAAGAACGATGGAGAATTCGGGTCTTTAGGCTGGTATGAACGTACAGAGCTTCACCTCCGCCAGTCCGGCTGTCCCGGTCGTGGCGGATTAGGGTGTAGTTAGGAAGGGAGACTGAAGAGGAGGGGATGTAGGGATTGAGCCAGGTTTCGGAAATTGCGATGATGTGGTAAAAGTTTTGGGTAAAATATTCTAGAAATTCATCGTAATGGGCTGGAAGGGATTGGGAGTTGACGTGGCAGGAAGTTAGGACACTAGACATGAGTAGGATTTCGGAGAGGACATTCGGTATTTGATGGAAAGACGCTGAAAAAGATTAAATACATTAAATGACGTGAAGAAAAAATAAAGTAAAATAAGTAAAAAAAAAAAAAAATAAGTTAATAAATAGCCTTGATAATATAATGTAAAATAAAGATTTCCAATGAAGGTCCGGTGAGCGTGCCAAAATGTTCGTAGATGCTTGATGGTGAACGAGATTCAAGCCGTCATCCGAAGGCCTCTAAGTCCTGTGCCTGGTTGATGAGGACAACCTGATGGCCGTCGTCTTTTCTACACCGCACTGTGCCGGAAGCGAACCAGGTATGTTTTATTTTCCCCGCGGCTTTCTTCTGCCTTGCGAGCCAGTAGAGGTGCCTATTTTTAGGGGTCATCTCCTCGCCGAGATAGATACGATGGGTGTCATTCTCCTGCCAGCCGATTTCCCGCGTCGAGAAGTCCCGCTTTACTTTTCGTTTCTGCACCAGGTCGTCCCTCACTGACTGCCTGACAAATCGTGCGATGATGGGCGGTGGTCGCGGTTCGTCCTTCTTTGCTCTTCGATGCAGTACAGTGTCCAGGTCATCAATATTGAGCTTGATTCCCAGGCCAGCTTCAATACTTGTAACCAGGGCTGCAGGGGTCTCACCCGCTCGAATCGTAATGCCCCGTATCTCGAGCGATCTATTAAGAAGGTCTTGCTCCGCTTTATTTAGCCTGACCTCCAATTCACCTACCTTAGACTTGAGGGCTTTATTTTCAGATATAATTTCCTCAAATTGTTTCGCTTGTCCCTCTAAATGGTTCTCAATTTTCGTTAACCTTGCATTTAATTCAAAAGTCAGGTCTCCGTATTTGTCCAGCACTGTTTTAATATTTTTTATTTCGGTGTTTACGTGTTTTTCAACCCGCTGTACTGCCGCCAGAATTTCTGATGGTGTTGGCTCAATGCTGCGACTTTGCTTCGGGTTTTCACCACCTGCTGTAAACTTGTTTGCTTGATCACAACTATTACATGTCCATACTTTATTCGATGATTTTTGAGCCTCGAACTCTTTATCGCTAAGTTTACAGCATCTGCTATGAAATAATAATTTGCATTTAGTGCAACATAAAATATTTTTTTCCTCACGACTGATGGTGCTGCTGCATACCGGGGATTGAGCCATATTAATATGAAGTAAATAACGTTTACTTACAATAACACGATGTGTTGTTATGATCCCTAAGACCAATAGCGGGGCTTAATCCTACAGAGCACAGTTGTTTATCGCAGTCCCGTGGCTTGTATAGTTTATATTACTTAAATACGTTCACTTTTCATGGAACCGTTTTTTTTTTTTTTCTTCTTCTTACCCTCCAAAATGTTTATTGAAACAAATTACATATATAGTATACAATATACAATATATACATGTGATAAATTCCTTCCACTGCCCGAGGGCATTTTAAGGATTGGGGATAGCTAAGGGTTACATATGTGGCAGAAGGCCTTGTGACTTTGACATTGAACGGGGAAGGACCGTTCTGCAATTTCGTGGAACCGTGAGGAAATACGAACTGTTAATGATATCTATGGTTATAGATTTAACGAGATAAAAAAATAAAGAAAAAAAAATTCAAAAATCAACGCAACTTAAACGAAATAAAACACGTGATAATACAGAGGATGTTAACTGATGGCTGTCTCTGACCAGACTGATTAAATAATTAAATAAGTCATTAATTAAATAAAATCATGAAAATTGATGCGTCCTGACTATCATAGAAAAGATAATTAACTTTTAACTTACTGCAGTTCCTAGTGACATAATTCTACTTCATAGCTAAAATATCGATATATGAAGCGATTGTAGAGCGTTCTGTAGGAGTTGTTTTGAACAATTATGTGCGAAAAGTAAATAAAGTGGTACTGAGATAATAAATATTTCTCAGATAGATGCTAAACATACTACGCATTTATATATAAAAAGTTACACTAGTATTTGTTTTATTATTTTGATAAGTATATGAGATATACTGTTGGTTCGACTGATTTTGTTAGATATTCATGCAACTTGGATTTGAGTGGTGCAAGGATTTCGTCTATAGATGTAAATGTTTACGAATGGTGCTAGTATAAGTTTTAATTTATTTCAAAATAAACATTCAAGTTGCTCTTACAAATACTTTTATTTTATTTCTTCACTGTTTATTATTGGTTAAACATGGACCAGGTTAGTCTTGCACCTCAGCATAATGGATTGTATATTTTAAATGGCCAAGCAGTTCTAATTCAGAATGCAACACAGACTAGAAATATCTCTGGATCAACAAGTGAGATTTTTCAACAAGATATTGATGGTTTGTCCGCTGTGGTTGGTAATCAAACACTTAAGGCTGCGAATTGCTTAGGTCAAAATTATGTGGTGTTGGATAATTGTAAACCAGACGATGGAACAGTTGTACAATTGTCTATTAGTGATGATTTCCCAATTGAGATGCTAGATGCATTTCAAAAGAAAGAAGTTAGCAATGATGTATCTGACTCAACTTTGTTGAAGAATATTTTTGAACAGGGAAATAATAAACCGGATAACTCATCATCATCAGACCTCCTAAGCAGTTTTTTAAAATTTACCCCAAAAGAGAAAGTTGGAAATCAGTTTGAGTTGGTATCTCCAATTAAAGGTAATTTTACTTATGCCTATCAATTATCAGATGGTGCGAAATTGTGCCCTTTAACTAACGTTGACAATGGAACAAGCAGGATCAGTATTCCAGTTGTTTCTAGTGAGCCAGACAATAAATTTTCCATGAATGCAGCTGTTCCTTCACAAGTATCAATTCCTCAGGTTTCATCTCAGCAGACTGGTCGAAAATTGGTCTATGTAAACAATATATTAAGTGGTGCTAATGGGAAACCACGTTTAATTTTAAATATGAAACCTAAAAGTATTCAAGATCAAAGGAAACGTATAACTCAGAAAATCCAAATTGTTCCATCTCAAGGCAAGTCTGTACTTTATAATAATCTAAAAAGTAGTTCTCAGAAGATTGAAACGGTTCCTATCAATTCTTCCAAGGAAAAAGAAATGGTTAATTCTAAAATAGTTATTCAGAAAGACTCATCAAATAATATTACTAAAATGCCTCTTTTGTTGAATACTCTGTTAACCACTAAGGCACCTGAAAATTCTCAAGTTGGTGAAACAAAAAATATCAGGTAGGATTTAAATTATCAAATTAAATTTTTAAATATTTTTCTATCATTTTTAAATTTTTATGCAAGTCCAGATTTATGATTGGATAAAAATAGCCCTTTGAAAATATAGCTAATGACTATAAGATTCACTATTGAACAAAGAGGTTCATTATTTTTTTTAACTATTGAGAATGAGGTGTTGACCTGCAAGAAACCAAGTAAATGATTTGACTTGCAGACTGGTATTCGGGATTAAATGGCCTGTCAATTTTGTCTTTTATTGTTGTTTTTTGTTATTATTTTAACTTTCACTTACCTATATATATATAATATATAGTAAGGGTAAGTGTTGCGATCGTGAAAATTTTTGAGTCTGAGTTTTCAATGGAAATACACGTTTTAACATACCCTGAGTCCAAATAACCAAGTCCCGATAAATGGTCTTTGTGTTTGTATATTAGCAGTCTAGCTCAAAAACGAAAAGTCATACGAAACTGATATTACATATTTAAGTAAGGTATATAATATGCCTTAGATGTGACAGCAACTTTTTCCTTATAAGCGGCTAACTGGAAATGCGACTTTATATCAAAGGCGAAACACATTTTTACAATTTTCTCAAAAACAGCTCTAACAATTTTGATTAAACTTGGTGTATCATTGTATATTTAAGTGGTATTTAATATAATTTAGGTCTTTGATTAATTAATATAATTAGGTCCTTGATATCACTTTACTTGGCTTAAATGCCCAATGTTCATATGTGTCTTCCTCCAAAGTACCTTTAATATGGTTTATTTTAACTACTTAACCATCTCTCATTATTAAGAGTTATGAAAAAAATGCTAACTTTTGAAAGAATTTGATGATTGAATAAAGGAGAAAAAATAAAAATGCTTATCCAGGTCGAAAATGAATCTCCGGAAATAATAGTCAGAAGGTATACATATAATATATCATTGGAAAGTGGAGAATTTTAGAAAAACAATATCTAACATAGAAAGTTGTAGAAGGTAACGGAGAGTGGCGAAAAAATTATAAATAAAATTTTTTGAAAACTAATATTATTTAATTCACATCTATTCAAGGAAATTGAATTAAATTTACTAACTAAATGTAAACTTTAAAAAGTATTTTTAAATTTGTAAAAAGTATTTAATATCCACCTAATCAAGCATTGTTAAAAAAACTAAAAATATTTCATGGATACATTTATAACCTTAAATATATTTACTGTAGTTTAATAACTAGATCTAATATTATATTTTAATAATTAGGTATCTATTGTCCGTTTATTCCAAAAAATCATTATGTAACCTTTCAGAAAATTAAATTAGTGAATCATTTGATAAATTTTCCCATTGCGATATTCCAACAAAATCCACTTACAATCAGTGTGACAACTTTTGACCTGTCTATGACAGACAATGCAAATCTCTCAATTCTGTTTTGGTAAACTTTGAAATGGAAAATAACAGTTTAATAACTAATAGTCATACAATCCATAATCAACGGATCGTACAATCCATAATCAAATTCGTAATCAGTCGGTGATGTAATTAAGAGGACTTTTGTTATTTTAATAGTATTTATGATTTGTTATCTGTTATCTTTTAGCTTTAGCTCAATTAAAAATGCAATTCAAAATTTTTATAATAGCCCAACATAGCCAAAAAATAATTTTTATTCAAAGTTGATTGGCAAGTGAAAGTTGTGTGTTGCACGCACCAGATTTTTTTTATTGTGGTTGTTTACTGCCATTTTATTGTATTCCATTACAACAATTTTTCTCAATCTTTCATTTTTGTAGTAAATATGTTTCTTCTACTAGAGCAATGAGAGGTGTGATGGTTTAACAACAAATATAAAGATATCATGACATAGTATGTAATGAATATGAGCTATTCTTCTGACAAGAACCTTCTTTAGGTCTTTGTTAATTGGTTGGACTTGCAGTTGGCTGGCAGCCATGATCAATGCTATATTATAGACACAAAGAAATAATAAAATGACTCCTTTTCAGTTTGATATACAATTAACATCAATGTTTATTCAATCTATTATTTAAAATTATGGTACCTTAATACAAATGTCACTCCATCTTGTCTAGCGGGTCAAGATCCCTTGTTTGCGGTATAAATGGAATCTAGAGAATGGCCGAAAAGAAGCCTGAAGAAGTAGACGTAATTTAGTTTAGAAGTAATATAAGAAGAAGTAATATAATTTATATTATAATATTAATAATATATGTGGAAGTGATTGTACCCTTTAGTAAGGCCCCGACCTCCACTGAAAAGGACCTGTTGAAGATTTATTTATGCCTTTAGAGCAAGATTAGTGAGTGTCAAAATCATTGATGCAATTAAAGTTAATTAATGTCTCGATTTTAAATGAAAAGGACTAGTAAGGATTTTTCCCGAAGAGATTCAAATAAAGGGAGGTTATTCTGTGAAAACTGCAATCTTTGGTTATTCTCAGATATAAATATACAACACACATTTATACCAAAGAGATCTTCCTATACTGGACAAGGTGGAAATATATTTGTAGAGTGGTACTAAAACTATCTTTAGCTGGTAGTATTATAAAGCAGTCATATTATTATTATGAGATTTAGGCCAAGGTGTACATTGAAATGCAGAGCTGGGTAGTGTAATTTCTTGAACACGTGTTTAAAAAGAGGATGGTGTGGGTAGAGAGGCAGCACTGCATATGTGGCACAATAGTCGCTGAACTACTTTGCTTTGTTTAGGCAAACAACCTTAGAGTTGCTGTATAGTTTTCCTCTCATAATACAGATATAATATCATGAAAGAATTGAAATAGATTGGTAGTAATTTTTATCAATTACTGATACTTAGTTGTGGTTTGTTCTTAATATTGGGGTTTTCTACAGGTGATTTTAGCAAAGTTTCTTATTTTCTGTATATTTTTTAATGACATGCTAATTATTTTGAGGTTTCCCACTTCAAGGTGCTAAATATGTATTTTTATTACTATTATTCCTAAATCCTTTGAGGGCTTAATTCACATTATAATAATTACAATTTGAGTGTAGAAAAATAAGTCAATAAAATGGAGTAAACAAGAAATAAATGTTTAGACAGTTGAGAATGTTGAGGCACACTAGTCGAAATTCCAGTGGGTGTGCCTTTATTTGTAGTTCCAGTAGGCGCATGGTGCATGGAGTGTGCCATGCCTTTTTGGTAGGGATTAATTTTTTTTTTCTGTTGTTTAAATTCTAAATTCACTATTTTGTTACAATTTCTAATAGTATTTATGTATAGAAAATTATTGTAACTTATTTTTTCTGTCGTTTTTAATTTAATTTTATGATAGGGAAACAAACATGATTACTTTTCTATTTTTTGTATATTCAATATAAAGCAAAATATATTAAATAAAAGAAATATAAAAATATTTTATGAACTTTAATTTAATAGGTTTCATCTGAATCAGCAAATATAAAAACAACAAAACAAAATATAAATTATGTATACTTGATAACATAAAACATAAGTTTGATTACAAAACAACACAAGTTAAATTAAAAATCAATTAGAAAAATTTAAAAACTAAAATATTTAGAAAACAAATTAATCACTTATTCAAATTAATCGTAATCAGATTCGTCTTGCTGATTACAGGAAATGCACAAAGGCTCAACTACAAGATAGGCTTTGCCTGTGTATTTTTATCATTTGGATCATGTTTTCGTTCTTTTTCCTTCCGCGCACATGACATTTTAAAAACTTCAATTCAACCATAAACACCAAAAATATTTTTAAAAAACTAAAAGTATAACACGAGTGGCCACGTGTGAAAATATTAATTTTCTATTTCTATAATTATTTATTTTGTTGTAGGTTTTTTTATTTTTATTTTTTCTTCTCCGAGCTAAGGCAATATACATCTAACATATACTGCTGTAATTAAATTCTATTTCTACTCTTCTAAAGTTTTGACTACATTCAAATGAAAACAAGAACAACATTCATATTACACATCTGTAATATTTAATTTATTATAATATAAATTATGTATATATAAGTTAATTAGAGCGGACTTTGTTCAGAAGCTTTTTTTAATTAGTTTTGTCAAAGTAATCTCACATAAATTTTTTAATATAATACATTTTACTGTTTATTTATGGTGTAATTTTAAAATTGTATTTCCAAATCTTATTATGACCTGTAGTTAGAAATAAGTAAACATTAAATCATGTCATTCATTTTTGTTTTATTAAGATTTGATTTTTTTTTTTAATTTATTTTTAGTAATGCTCAAGTAGTTCAAACTGATGGTCCAGTGCAACGGTCATTGCTCAAAATGCAATTGCAACAACAAAAGCCTCCAGTTAAAACATCGCCAACTGTTATTCAGAAAGAATCGGCTGATAATGAATTGAAACCAGTAGGAAGGTAATTTAAATTTAAAATAAAGTGCAAGTTTCAAGTCTCAGCGATGAGTTCATCATTGGCATTTTAAATCTATCAAAATGTCTAATCTAATCGATGGAAATCATCTATGGCCATCTTTATTCATTCATTAAATCACTGATCACTTCAGTTTCATAGGCTATTTGGGTCAATGGTTCTGATGTATACAACCTGATTATAATTCCAATGTTGTTATTTTTATTTTTAAACACCTCAAGAGACAAACAACAGTTTATCATTGAAAAAAATTGTTTAGTAATTTCAAAAATTAAACTTATGGTTCTTTGTTTTGTTGCTTTTAAGGAGTTTCAATAGTCCACTTAAATCAAACAGATCATCTCCAATCTCAGCATAAATCGCTGATGAATTCAATTGATTGATGGATTCCATTGATGGAATTAGTGTTGAGTTTAGAAACTTGCCCAAGTAAAACTAGATATTAATCTTTGTTATTTTTGGGTTACAGTTAGTTAAATGTATTAGTTGTGTTTATTTTTAATTTTTACATTGTTTTGAAATAATTGTTTGTACTTTAGATTTCTGTGTCCTCCTTATGTTCCACTATTGACTTTTCCTAAAGAGTGTACCATTTGTTAGGAACTCAGTATGCTTCGGAGAGGGAATCTCAACCTCAATAACTATCGTATATCATTTAGATTGCCCTTTCATGAGTTGTAAGGAAATATAAAAGATTTTTATTTTATTTTGTGCCGACGTTTTAGCATAACACGTCTTCATCAGGACTTCTACACCTACTGGCTGTTTAAATTGAGTAGTTGTTTAAAGTTAAAACACTCAATTCAAACTTAATGAATTTTCAATTTTTTCAGATCAAAATGTAACTCCCAAACAATCTACCAAATATAGTTGTTGTACTATGTACTAAAACTTGTGAATAATGTACATTGTGTATAATGTGTAATGTACAAAAAAAAAAGATCTAGGCTCAGTGCTGTGTTAGGTTTTTCCCTTTAATTAATTAATTAAGAGTACCAAATTTATAGAGGTTACGATTTCTTGATCCCACTATCGATCCATGGCTGTTGTAACAGAATAAATAATTACTTGCCACATCCAGACTCAGCAGGCGTGGGAGAATATGAGCACAATACCTTTCTCATTGAGTTACCCCGCTCCCTTATTTGTAATATACAACACTAATTAAAATTAAAAGTTTTTAGAAAAAATAATAGAAGTTGCCATTACTGTCCAGGAATTAACCCCTGTGCAAATTTCTTTTTTATATTGAAGACAAACATAGAATTGAAGATTTTAATATTAATAATATTATGTAGAGAATTGTTCAATCTATAAACATAGAAAGAGAAAAAAAAAAAATCAATGTTCTAGGCAGTATTCTAAATTTGTATGGTGTGCGTGTCTGAAGAATATATTAAAAATCATTTTTATTTGCAGGGCTTGTGTTGAATTTTAATATAGGTTTGGAAAATAATAAAAATATTTAAAAATTATTTTTATAATTTAACCAAGTTATTGTAACAAATTTGAAATTTAAATTCAGTTCAACCTAATGTAAAGCATGGTGTTTAATTTTGATTATGAGAATTCAAGGAAAAGATGTTTTATGTTCATCTTGATCTTTTTAAGTGGAATTTATATGTTAATTGTAGGTTAACAGAATCTCAATTGAAAAAAATTGCTGCAGTATTCAGGAATAGTTGCCTTAACCGCACTAGGCTCACAAATTCAACCATCTTTGATACTGAAACAAACACAAGAATAGTTTGCAGGTAAATTATTCCATTATTGTATAATACTTACTCACTGATGCACTTAAATGTTTAGGATTCTAGTTTACATGCATTGATTTCTGAAATTATAAATTTTAATTGGACAAAATTATAAATTATAATTATCATACCCTTAATAGCATTATTATCATCACTAAATTTTATTACTTTCCTTGTGATTTTTCACAATTTCATTACTTAACGTATATCTTCCATTATATACACTCATAAAGATCAAGGTAGATGAATATATAAATAAAACAGTAAGGATAAATAAATACAGGAGTAAAAAAGTAATAAATATCCATTTATTAGGATTACTAAGGAAAGGATCCCAGATTTGTATTTTAGATATTTATGAAACTTTTTAAGGTAAATCTAGTCCCCAAAATATCGATATACTACCAAACAAATATTAGGGGCCATATTTTAACATTAAATACTTAAAAAATTGAAATATTCTTGAACTAAACAATGCAATAATACTGAAAATATCAAAAATAGTGATTTTATGAGAAAGGGGGGGGCGTTTTTTTCTTGAACACCAAGCTCCGATTAAAAATTTTTAACCTCTAGAAACTATGAAAACCAAAACATTTTTTGCTAAAACTTCAGTCATACATACCTACACTTCTTTGAAGAATTTTGAGCACGTTTTTCCTGCTTCAGGTGTTCAATACTGCAACCTGAAATTTGCACCCCCATGTGAGGTGTTTAAAAATAAAAAATGGACATTTTCTAGGGTCATTACAAAAATCTCATCCTATTTTTTTTCATCATTTTTATTTTTCATTATTTTTTACTTATATCGATTTGTTAAGTTGGTCTGCAAATAAATTTTTCATACTTATTGAATTTCTCTTAAGTTTTCTTTCTAAAAAGGGGTGTTTAAATCTTTGATTTCAGTCGATTAATTTAGAAGTTATATGTAAAAATGTTAATTGTTGTAAAGTCCTATTTTACCTTTCCTAAAGCTGTTATTTATTTTTCTTATTATCACAGTATATTATATATAAAAAAACTTACTGCTTCAAGAAAAAATAACATAAATAAATCTTTGAATAACTTAGTTATTTTCTTGGAAAAAACAAAACAAAAAACATACACTAACTTCAAATATTATTGGTCACATTTCAAGGATAGTACAAACTGTTTTCATATATTCCCATTTGCACTTTCTTTTCTTTATTGTCTATTTTTTATAAAAAGTATATTAATCCATGTCTAGAGTTGTCTATCCAGAAGATTTAATGAAAGATGGAGAAAAACAAGTTGCAAAACGAGGGAAAAAAAGAGCTAGATCTGTCGAAGTTGTCAAAAAGTCTGCTCCTGAAGATGATAAAACTAAAAAACCTCCGCCACCATCAGCTCGAACAAGGTAACTGTCTTCTTATTTTGTTCAATAAATAAACTATCATTATCACCTATCTATGAAAGTATAAAGTATAAATATTAGTCTAAATCAAACTTAACTATTGCTTCATGTATTTTCTTAAGGTATTAATATTCGTTTATTTGATTCTCATTTAGAATAAAATAAATAACTCATTTACTTTAATGATTAATTTTGACCATCAAACTGCTTTCACTCCAATATTTTTATATTTTTGAATTCAGTAATAACGAGTTAGGGACCGTGAGTAAAAACATCGTGAGGATGGTTTTAATTACAAAAAATAAATAACATGATGCTTATTTAACATGGGAAACTGGTTGTAGCAAATGATGTCTGCACAAAATATGATTATATAGAACAAAAATACAAGTAGTTTTTTTTAAGGTTATTAATCCTCTAAAATACAAAATACATAATACTTCTATGTAATAATAAAAAGTTCTTAGTTCTCATTTGAAAACCATAAGAATACTGATTTTTAAATTTTGTATTTATATATACATATAACTATTCACGTTTGTTGTTTTTAAAATGGTAATTCTGTAAGTTGAATGCAGTCATTAATGTTTAGTGATTATAAATGTTTTATTTGAGCATATGTCACAAAATTTCCTAAAACGATAATTTTAGTTTTATGGTCAAGCTGAATGGAATTAAGTTTATTAAATTTAATTTATGCATCCCGAACCAGATATCTATCTTTTCATAATAAACTCTGGTTCCATCCGAATCCACTTGTTTCCAACCTTGCTTCTTCCTCGATTCCTGATAATCCTCCTAGGCGTCTGAAAAGAAGATGGCCTCGTGATCTTCTTACCTAGAATTATTTAGGGAGTCTTACCACTGGGTAGTATCTCTTTAAGTCTGTTCATGTTGTTATTTCTAATTTGTACATATTTACTGGTTTTATTTGCATACAGTTGTAAATTTCATTAAATAAAAAAAAAAAATGTATGCATTACTTTTATTACTTTATTATCCTATATTTCATATAATATTGGTAATGAATTCATTTTCAGTATAATTATTGAAATGGGGATTAACTAGAAGGAGGTAATTAGTGTTTTCCAAGAGAGGAGTTGTTAATTGGGCTAAACATCTAGATATAATCTAAATAGGACTAAAAGGTGGATGGGGTGGCCGAATGTGCTAACTCTTGTGCACAGCACCGCCGTTGTCCAGCAACCTGATCAAGACATATTGATAAAAATTAGTCACGAGTTCACATCCCAATGTCGGGAGGGTCTTTTTAATTCCCGCTCTCACCCCCTGTCCTGGAAAACACCCGCATAGCCTTAAAGGAACCCCTATAACTCAACGTGAAAATTGAAATGATTTACTTCAGTTTGCAATAGAATAAAATAATTGCCAATCATCACAGGCTATATTCAAACCAGTATCACTTCCGAACTAAGAATGCTACACTATAGCCACACTGAACAGGAAAAATTCACTGAACCGATTAAAAAAAACAACAATTTATGCTTGTATTTATTATTAATCTTATTGATTTTATTGTCAAATTAACTTTACTTAAATAATCTATGTTTAATTTGCAGATCTGGTAGACTTTCTCGTCCTCCTCGTTATATGGTTAAAGATTTTAAAAAATTAACTGAAGATTCTGAAGCATCTTACTCAGACTACATGAGTGATTCAGATGAAAATAGTGAAAATTCTCCATTGCTACCTTTGCCTAGTAAGTTTGAACATGATTTTATTATTTTGTACTGTTAAATGAAATTATAAATAAAATTTGTTTTTTTAAAAGTTTCAAGACATTTACTTTTAAATTAAATCTTGCAAATAACAATTAAGTCAGGTCATATTGGTGCATTAGTTCTGTAATTATGGATCTCTGTTACTTTATTTTATTTTGCCAGATTGTTTTTTTTTTTCAAAACCTGTTTTGTACTGTCATTGTGTGATTATTAATTTGGTAAAAACAAAAATTTCAAAACTAGTTATTATGTTTCTGACCATATCATTATCATCATATGTGGCACAACATCCCCTTACCGAGACTGAGCCTCCTCCAAGAGCCTCCGCCAGTTGGCTCTGTCTTCTGCTGCAGCTCTCCAGTTCCGTACACCAAGCAGGGTTCTTGCATCATAGGCCACGTTGTCCAACCATCTCGTCCTCGGCCTTCCTACCCGTCTTACGAGGTGCAGCTCCTCCATCATTATTTTTTTTGGTATTTCAACGGTGCTCATTCTGGCCATATGCCCTGCCCACCTTAGTCTGGCCAGTTTAATATACGTGACTACGTCGATGTCTGCATAGAGAGAACTGAGCTCCTTATTTTTTCTTTTCCTCCAGACATCACCCTCCTTTACTGGACCATAAATCCTTCTGAGGACTCCTCGCTCAAACACACTCAGCTTCATCTCATCCTTTTTAGTCATCGTCCAAGCCTCTGAGCCATATGTCAAAACAGGCCAAACAAGGGTCTTGTATATGATCAGCTTGGTCTTCTTTGAGAGGTACCTACTTCTTAAGTGTCGGCCAAGTCCAAAGACACATCTATTGGCAGCCGTGATCCTTCTTTGTATTTCTTGAGCCATGTCATTTTTGCTATTAATTTCAGACCCAAGGTATATAAAACTTTTCACTCTCTCAAACTTAAAAGAACCTGCCTCAAATGGAGAGTTCAGATCCACCTCACCACCAACTCTCATATACTTAGTTTTCCTCTCGTTGACTTCTAGACCAAGTGGTCTTGCAGCTGCTTCAAGGCCTATAAACGCTTCTCTGAGAGCCCGTTCAGACCTACCTATTATGTCAATATCATCAGCAAAACCAAGAAGCTGTGTCAGGCGATTGAAGATTATATCGTTGGTCTGAATACCGGAGTCTCTTACAGCTTTCTCCTGACCATATACTTTTTAAAATACATTTTTAATCATATTTCAAAAATTCATTGTTATATTCTTCTTATTCATGATATATCCATTGCTATATTCATGATATATCCAACTATTGCTTTTTGACTATATTAATTTATTTACTAGATGATAAGTAACATCATCAGTTACGTCTTGAATTTTACTAGACTTGATCAACATTCAAATTGCTGGATATACCTAGTCAATGATATATTTTATGTTAATTATTTATCGGTGTAATATCTTTATTTTTACATTTTTCCAGCTCCGCAGCAACGGAAATATCCTCCTAAATTTCACTGTCCAACATGTGGTAAAGTATATTTAGGAAAAAGAAGGATGTTCAAACATTTTACTGAATATCCAACCCACAGGGACCCTAAAACAGTTATTGAATTGGAAGGTATAACTATTTATCTTATATGTAAACATATTTTCAATATTGTCAACCATCTTTTAATTGTAACCTGGTTTAAGACTAATCAGGTTTTATTACATTGTTTAAATATTACTGACATTAAAATTTAATGAAAGGAATCTTCACTATCTGTCAACTATTTGTTTATTTTTTCAAATATTTTTTGATCAATTCATATGTCTTCATTTGGATTTTCGAAAACTTTTTTTTTAAAGAATGCTAAACTTTCATTTGAAACTTGAAACAGTATTTTTATGTTAAACTTAAGTACATATAAAATGATCAGACATATTTTGGACTAGGGAATGTCTGATGTAACAATAAATCTGACTTGTTTATAACTTTTTTAGTGTTTATGTTTATAAATCACCTTACTTCACCTGAATCACCATTAATATTCTATTATCTCCCCCTCTCTCATTAATCCAGATAAAATTGATCTTTTACATACATTTTAGCTTACACATTTACTTAGCATATATATTTATTACTATTTGCTTTTGGCCCTGATATTTTTATTTTAATTCGAAATAAATAATAATAAAATTTCAGTCATAAGATGTTTGCTCAATTCGATCTCTATGAATATTATTTATTATTTTAGATGAAAGTCAGGAAAATAATAAGCAGCAAGACAATGAAAGAAATTTATGGAGGAAGATATTTCGAAAAAGTGCTCGAAATCCTAAATTAAACAGTACAGCATTACTGAAAGAAGTAAGATTATTTATTTATGCATTTCTAGTTACCAAAAAATATCCTATATCAAATTTATAAATATAGTTAGACATTTAAAAATAAATTATTCTTATTGATGTATAGTGATATAATATAAGCGATAAGTGTACAATTTATTTTTCAAAAATCGTAAACATAAATATCATTTAATTATTAAATCATTGGGATTTTGAGTGCTATCAAAAAACATTTTTTCATCTCTATGGTCTTTCTGTCTAAGAATCATTGTTTATGAAATAGATCAGTATCTAGATATTATTTTGAATGTTTATGACAATAGTGTAACAGTTTTTCTTGGTAACTTATTATTAATTTTATTTGTATGATATTGAGGAAAAGAGAGAAAGAACTGTAACTATACCTTAGCTATCATCTTTTTGGAAAATTTTAATTTGTTAAAATATAATTACAATTTTGCCTAATAAATGTGAAATTTAGAATTTCATTTGCTCATATTAATGGGTTATTTTTATCTTATAGAAATTGTTTTGAACTTTATTACTTTCAGTTTATCATTATTACTATTATTATTGTTCATAAGACATTCAAACAAAAGTCTGAGTACCAACATTTTTAAATTAGGTTTAAATAAAATAGGCCATATTTAATGAATAGTATAATAAATAAAATATATATAGTTAATTATATAATATATACTTAATATGGTAGTAAAGAACTAGGACTCGAAATAAATGTGGATAAAACAAAATATATGGTTAGCTGCAAAAATGGCGATACTACTGGTGATATCGATATAGATGGTAATATGTTTGAACAAGTAGAGAAATTTAGGTATCTAGGTTCTACGATAACTAGAAAAAACGAAATTGAAGAAGAAATTAAGGTTAGACTGAAGGCGGGAAATGCTTGTTATTTTTCTGTAACAATACTACTTTTGTCCCGAAACTTAAAAATTAGAATCTATAAAACAATTATCTTGCCTACAGTTCTTTATGGATGCGAAACTTGGCCGCTTACATTAAGGAATGAGCAGCGTCTTAAGGTTTTTGAAAATAAAGTATTGTGTAGAATATTCGGACCGAAGAAGGATGAGTTAACCGGAGAGTTCAGACGGTTACACAACGCCGAATTGCGTGAGCTGTATCCGGGTAATATAATTGAGGCAATTTCATCGCGGCGAATCAAATGGGCTTGTAAAGTTGTTGGGCTTAATAACGAGAGAATTCCTAAAAGGTTAATATTTGCTGTGCCGAATGGTAAGCGTCCGAGGGGTAGACCGAAGCGAAGGTGGGAAGATTGCATTAAAGCCGAAGGGACTGGGTTTGGACGGCGAACGGTGGAGGGAGGTGTGTAACAAGCGATTGGTGGTGTCGGCATCGAACCTTCAGGTTCGCTAAGCCTTATTATTATTATATTATTATTATTATACTTAATATGGAGTATCCAACTCCACGATTCTTTACCATTTTTACTTTCACTTACCTATATATGAAATATATAGTAAGGTTAAGTATTGCGATCGTGAATATTTTCAAATCTGAGTTTTCAACAGAAATACATGTTTTGAGGTCTCCTGAGTCCAAATAACCAAGTCCCGCAAAATGGTGTGTGTATGTCAAGTCAAATCAGTCTAGCTCAAAAAAGAAAAGTCGAACGAAACTGATATTACGTATTTAAGATAGGTATATGCCTTAAATGTTACAGCAACTTTTTCCTTAAAATCGGCTAACCGGAAGTGCCACTTTATATCAACGCTGAAACACAATTTAACAATTTTCTCAAAAAAAGCTCTGACGATTTTGATTAAACTCGAAGAAGCATTGTATAATTAAGTGGTCTTTAATATCATTTAGGCCTTATCCCCATTGATGTCACTTTACAGGACTTAAATAACTAATGTTCATATACGTCTTCCTCTAAAGTTCCTTTAATATGGTTTATTTAAAAAAAATTAACTCTCTTTTATTGACAGTAACTATAAAAAATGGCTAAATATGAAGTTTGAAAGAATATGATAATTGGAAACTGGAGAAAAAAAGGAAAATGCTTATCCAAGTTGAAAATGAATCTCCGGAAATAACGGTCAAAAAGGTATATGTATAATATATCATTGGAAAGCGGAGAATTATAGAAAAAATAATATGAAATAAATGAAGTTGTAGAAGGTAACGCAGAGTGACGAAAAAAATATAAATAATAATTTCAGAAAACTAACATTATTTAATGTAAATCACATGATTCCAATGAAATTAAATGAAATTATCTTACTAAATGTAAACTTTTAAAGTTTTTTCTAAGTTTGAAAAAAGTATTTAAAATCCACCGAATCATGACAATGCCATTGTTTAAGATACTATTTAATTGTACTTGTGTGAAAGAAGAAGTAAAATATAAAAATATTTTATGGATATGTTTATATCCTTAAATACTTTTACTTTAGTTTAATAACTCTAAATATGATATTATATTTAAATAATTAAGTATCTATCAGCCGTTCATTCCAAAAAATCATCAAGTAACCTTTTAGGAAATTAAATTAGTGAATAATTTGATGAATATTCCCTTTGTAAAATCCCAACATTATTCACTTACCATTTAGTGTGACAACATTTGACCTATCCATAGCAGGTAATGAAAATCCCATAATTTCAATTTAGTAAACTTTACAATGGAAAATAATAGTTTAATAACTAATAGTCCTACAATCCATAATATCCATAATAAATAGGTTAAATATTCAGATGCACTTTCGTATCTCTCTAGGTATATATGAACCTTTCGGTTGTCAGAATGACTAGCTCCAATTCCAACATTCTTTATTACTAATTTTAGTGATGTTTCTAGTGGCAAAGTTTATACCTTTATACACAGTTCTATATTTCAACATTGCAGTCACCTACTCTGGAATCAACTTGCACACTGTCTGTATAGATATAACTTTTCCAACTAGAACTATCGTTGAAATGACATTACTCAAAAAAGTTGGAATTGGAGTTAGTCATTCTGTCAACTGAAAGACTCAGATACTGAAGTTATGTGGTTAATAAAACTAGATTTTTATTGCGTACCGTTGATAAAATAGACTTTTTGTAATTTTAATTGTCTTATAACTTGTTATCTGTAAGTTTTAAGCTTTAGCTCTGTTTAAAATGCACTTAAAAAATTTTATAATTGCCCAACATTGCCAGAAAATAATTTCTATTCAAAGTAGAGGGGTAAGTGAAGGTTGTGTGTTGCCCGCACCAGATTTTTTTCGTGGGGTATATTAATATTTATTATTTCTTTTATATTAGGAAAGATTATTTGAGATAGCTAGAACATTGTTATTTGTTTTTTAAATACAAATAAATTTTTTTTCTGAACCTTAATAGACACTGCCTATATATTTTTATATTCAAATTGAAAATTGTTTTCCAGTTGTTTCAGGTATGCTCTAATAACGATTTAGTTCCTCTGGCCAAAGAAAGGGTTGCAACAAATGTTGAACCATGGGATTATTTGAAACTTCGCTGTTCAAAAGAAGAAGGTGGTGTAAGGACTCTTCTCTCAGACTTATCCTCACTTATAAAATCCATTCCTGCGAACTTACTGGTTCCTGTGAAACCTAGTGATACAGGTTCTGTGCATGTGAGTAGATACGTTAATTCACAAATCCATAAATAATCTGTTTTATATCAGAAATATAAAATTGAATATATCTTTTCTACGTATGCACTATATGCTTAATACATACTACATTTTGTGCTGCTGTGACTCTTCGTCTCTAGGCCATATTTGTATATTATTTGAATATAGATTTATAAATTATAAATCTCATATTTATTAGTTTTAAAAACTGTGAATGCCACCACAATAGTTCAAACTTCTTTGAATTTATTAGTAATTTTATTAGGCTGCTTTGTGCTTGTAGATAATATGCTCACACTCAACTTGATAAGCCCGTCAGTTCAGTATGGAATTGATTTTTATTTTCCTAATCGGTAAAGAAAGTATTATAAAGACTGTAGTCCCGAAACGATCCTCACAATTTTGATAAAATTTGTTTAAAGCCTTCAGGTATAAATCAATCATAATTATATTTTTAGAGGAAATGTCACACAAGAATTAATTGCTTATTCAGTTTTTCATTTTTACTTTCACTTACCTGTATGTTTTCTTCTTACTTACTACATTGAAGTAACTTGATAACCTATATAATGAAATTAATTTAATGACGAGACTTATCTTAGTGTACACACAGCACTGTACTATTGTTAGGGCGTACTTTGTTACTTATTTATGGTTCTTTCAATTTAATAGTTATACTTTTTTTGGAATCAATTTTCAATGTTGTTAATTTTTTTTCCAGATTGAAGATGAAAAATTATGCCAGTTGCTTGGTATATCTCCTGGGCACTATATGCCTAATGAAAACTCTTTAAAAGATGATGTATCAGAAGAGATTACTGATAGCAACAATGCAGTGTCTAATACAGATCTAAAGTGTGATAAACAGTCGACAGAAAACATTTGGACTTTAAGAAATGACTTGTATAATGATGACACTTTAAAAATGGAAGTAGATCCTGGAAAACTGGATCCTGTTGATGCTGTTTTAAAGGATGATTCGTCAGAACTTAATGAAATATTATTAGAAAAATCTTTTGACTCAGTCGATCAAATTGTAAGTGAAAGACTGAATGATTTGATTCCGACGAGTCCGATCGATGTTAGTTCACTTGTAGAAGCTCAGGTTCTAGCACGGTCTATACTTTCCTCATCTCCTGATCTTCTCCAAGGCGTTTCTGGCTCGACAGAAGATTTAATGAAAACATTAGAGACCTTGACGCCAGATTTGCCGACAGACGCAAGTGCTTCTGATTTTGATTTCACAGTTCTTTCATCAGACTTCACATCTGATAGGTGACAGAAGCCTTTGAATTTTAGTTACTTTATCGAATCAATTAATTAAATTTTATTATATTTTCGATATATTTTTCTTTATTTAAACTTTAATTCACTGAAACACCATTTTTAATATATAGATAAAAAATATTTTCAGTAAAGGTTATTTGCAATTCCCTCAGGTTATTAGTAGTATCATTTATTTTTTTAACTGCGAATATTCATGAATTTAATCAAAAAGTATAAATTTAAATACTTTTAATATAATTAAGTTTGTATTTACAAAAGGCTACCTATAATTCAGTAGGTAATGGGCTGCTTTATAAAAATGTAAATTGCTTAATACTTAGTTATTCTAATGGAACAGCATTTTTGAAAACCATTTCATACTTTTTTACATCTATGACAAGTATAATTTTTTTTCAATAGGCATATTTTTATTTAAAGAAAATTAAAAATAGCAAGTTATAAACAAATAATGTCCCTTCCTTTCTCCATTTACTTATGTATACCCATTAATTGAGTCCATTGTTGCAAGAAGGGGACATGCTCTAAAAGTGCGTTTTGAGATACAAGCTAGCTATGATTTTTGATGATCTGAAAATTTATATGATCCCAACTACTTCTTCTGAGATTCTATCATACCAACTAGTTATTCATAAGCCCATGGCAAATTTGTTTAAGAAACTTAGTAACTAATTACATGACCTTTTTATGGAGAATGCTATTTCCGAGGTCCCGTCTCCCCTAGAATATTTTATTGATTCATTTATTCTTCTATTAAAATATAATTAGCAGTTAATATTTATAATAAAACAAAATAATTGCATAAAAAAGCAATATATTTGTCTTTGTTAGAAAAGAAAAAGTATTATGAATGTTCAAAAAATAATTATAAGCTTGAGATGAATAAAATATGTTTGCACTTTAAGGTATCAAAAAATATAATTAAATTAACTAGGCCATTAAAGTACAATAAAAATAAGAATATAAAAAGACTATAGAGCCCATTCCATTTTAAGGGACAGAATATAGTTGTTAGTAAAGATGATTTTTGTAGTTGAAACTTGGTGTAGTAGTCGGATCACTTCACACTCTAGTTAAACTCAAGAATCTTCTGACAATATATCAATTTACTTTTTGTATATTTACTTCCACAGATATAAAGAGCTTTCTCTGTGTTAATACTTAAGGATGCAAAAGACAGAATGTTCTTGTAAGGAGCCTTGTAGCTTGTAGAGAAAGCACCCAATTACTACACCAGGTTTCAATATTCATAGACACTAACTTCACTAAAAAACCCACTGATGTGTGTAATTAGATATGCAAGTATATTCTGTCACTTACGAGGTTGTGATGGCTGAGCATGTTAAGGCATTGCCTGTTTTAGCATTCTTGTGTTTAACAATGCAGTGTGTTTTGGTTGAAATTTATTTCTCGGCGGATCCACGAAATGAATCTCACCTTCCCACTCTGGTTAGAATAGATTTGGTTTAGCTGTAGAACAAACATCCCCCCTCCTCTCATATGCTAAAAATGGTGAGGTAGGACGTAATCCAATAAACAAAACATTGGTTATTTTTGCAGTCAGTTTTTTTTAAATTTAATTTTTTAATCTTTTTAGTTTTTCAATTATTGGTAATTCACATGCGATTTTGAATTTCTTTACACATGGTATGATATGAAACCAACAAAATATTGAGAATACGTAAAGTATTATGAATTTTTTTTTTAATGTTTAAGCTTAAAGTGTTTTAAAATGCTCACAGAATCTTGCTGTGTAATTTGAGGCATCATACTTGAAAAGCTTTAGCCGTTCATTCAAATTCATAACACTTCCAAATGTACACACTAATGATATTTATCAAACTAATTTGTCAATATTTGAGCTCAAATTGTTTTAAAATATTCATGGAATCTCACCGAATAATCTGAGCTATCGAACTTGAAAATTGTTTGAGCCTTTCGTTCAACAAATCATACCTTGAAATTTAAACACATTATTCTATTTGTCACTTTGCAGTATTCAGGTAACAAATATAAAGGCTTTCAATGTCACATTCTAATTTTTTATTAAATAACTGAAGACTAGTTGAGGCAATTTTTAAAAGTGATAAGATTTATTTGGTAAACTGTTATAAAATGCACACCATATAAAAATATATATTTATGAAACTCTAAAGTTTGTCCTTTTATTTATCTGATCTGATCTCCTATATACTAGGCCAGGGAGCTAATACTCCTATGCTTAGCTCTATCATTATCTTTCAGTTCGGTATATGTTCTGTTCTGGATTTGTATTAAGAGTTATACATTATGCATTAAAAAAAAATGTTTTTCATCAAAATAATTAAGTATGTTCAGTACCCCTTATTATAAATAAAATGGGCATAAAATAAAATAATGCTGATTGATGAAATAATTCAGAAAAAAAAATCCAAATGTTAATTAAAAAAATTTGTTTGAAATAATTAAAGCCAGTTTTTTCGATTTATCCAGTTTCGCATAATGTTTTTATTGTAGATAATTGTTTTTCTGTGAAAATTCATGCTTTATTCATTCCCATCAACAATGAATTAATGAGAGTCTTCTATAAGTACTTTCTCCCAATGATATAGATTCTGAAGAGAGGAGAAAAATAAATGTCTATGAAATATAATTCAATTAAATTTTTTTTTTCTTTATTGTTTTATTTCTAGTTCTTTATTTTATTTTTGATTCTAATTTTTTAGAGTTGCTTTTCATTAATTAGACGATTATAGCAGGGTTCATTTAGGAAGACTGTTAAGATATTGCTAATCAGAATTATCTTTATTTTATATTCAAAGATCTTGTTGGTTATGCAACAAGTATAACTGATAATAATAATAGCTTTAAACTATTTTTGCGATTTTCCTTTAAATAAGACTGTTATTAATTATTTTCTTATTTATGTTTTTCTTTATTTAATTTGAATTTATTCAGTTATTATAAGGGGAGGAATAATAGATTTTAAGCCTCAATGGAAGGCTTGTCATCAATTCATAACAAGCTTTCCATATCAAATGTGGGTTTGTTTTCTCTTATTGGGGTTTTTAAAACATTTCAAAATACTTATTTTTAATGTGGAAATAGTTTTAGTTTTGTTGATGGAATTAGTAGCACAAGATTTAGTTCACGTTATAGGATTAATGTTTGAAGGAGATTTTATGCATAGAAGTGTAATTAAATTTAATAATTGACAACAATTTCTGAAAATGTAATAATAATTGTTTTATCTTTTTTTTTAAGTTCCTTTAACGGTTAATTCTTCCAATGGGCATAAAAATTGTATTTTGTAAATTATAGCATATTTTGTTATACAGCTACATATAAATATTTCTTTGATAATTAAATTATGTAATATAATTAATTTTAGTATTAGTGTAGTTTATATATTATTGGTTGTAGTAGTTAAAAACTCTTTAAAGTTTATATTTTTTTTTCTCTCATGATCAAGTTTTCAACATTCATGGTCAGAAACAGGAATGTTTTTCACTGATTTCTTTATGAAATACCTTGACATTGTTCGACAATTTTTAAATTTATAATAATGTTTTTATTTCTGTATTTTGTCATAATGTAAGCAAACATTATTACCTGATGAAACCAAATTTTAAGTGTTGTAGGGCATGAATATTATTTGTTAATTTTAATATTAACTTATCGTAATCTTTGAATGTTTTAGAGTGGATGCAGTAGAGCATAAATAATGTGAAAATTGTTGATTGATAAAATTGATATTTCCTAAGTACTTTCTCAACTACTCAGTAAACTTCAGCGATTATTCTTTTAATTTTTTTTTTTTTAGTCCTGAAAATGTTCTATAATAAAGTATCATTCCAGAACGCTAAGTAAATATTTTAAAAATCACAAATTTTAAACATTCGATTTAGAGTTTAGAAAATGATAGCTAAGAGAAAGAATAAAGAAAAAGTGCTATTTTTTAAAATATTCATGCTAGTAGTCAACCAAAAATATTAAAAAGTATACAGTGGTTCCCAATATTTATTTAGGCTGACTGGCTACTGAAAGCGCAGCTGAGATGAGCTGAGCGTAGCTGTCAGCTTCCAAAACCGAATGGAAGGTTTTTAATGACAGGCCGGCCACCAAAAGCGGAGCTGAGCTGAGTGACGTAACAAGGGTCAGCTCAGCTCAGTCTTTCTTGGTTCAACGGAGGTTCGGTTTTGGAAGCTGACTCTGCTACGCTCAGCTTCCTCCACCCTACCTACTCATCACTGCCTCACAACCGTGTGGCTTTGTTCCTCAGAGTCATCCTTTTTTTTTTTTTTTTTCTTTGTTTTCATTGCATAACCTCTCAAATTATTTATTTTGGTTTAGTTTAATGCAAAATATGCAATGGATGTGTAAGAATTTTCAATCGAACGTGTAAGAGAAAATAAATATTCGATTTTATACACAAATATTCGATTTTTCTTTTCAAATCCGACATGACCAACTTTGTTATTTTTTAAAAATGTTATATATGCTATTATATATATTTTTTGAAAAATGTCATCCGGAATATGAGAAGAATACCGATGCAAGGCAAGCTCCACTACGCAATCGGTTGCCGACGCCCTTTTGTTACGCTCAGCTCAGTCTGTGGCCGGTCAGCCTTAGGCTACAATGTGGACATACACAAATTTTTTTTTTTTTGCTTTTCTACTTTTATCTGATATATAATAGGCACATTTTAAATAATAAAATAATTAAATACTGAAAACTACAATTAACAAAATAATAGCAATGTTTTGTTATAATTTAACAAATGTGAATTTTTCATATTAGATTAATGATTAAATTAAATCTATTAAAAATGTTAGTTTCTCTAGGTAGGAAACTGTTGGTACAGGAGAAAAAAATAATACTTAAAACATTGGGGAATTGCCGAAAAAACAGCCATGACATTTTCTTTTTAATTTAAAAGTTTTTTGTATACAGAGGACCCTTAATTAGGATAATTAAATCAATGAACATTTTTTTCTGATTTTTTAGATGGTTAAGAAAGTAGGAATGAAATGGAAATATTCTTTTAAAGGTTTCTTATATGTTCATAATTTTGTTCCTTAACATATTTGGAAAGCTATTAAAAGTCACTTTTAATTTTATTAAATATTTTATTTATTTATTTAAGAAATGCATCTACCAATGCCAGGCCATTAATTGCATATACTACATAACTTTTGGTAATTTCATTGATAAGTTGTAACCGTTTTCAGACATATAGTTTATATCTGTGGCACCTGTGAAAAGAGTGTTTCGTGCAATTTTGTGAATTTTTATGGGTACAACCAGAAACCTAATTTTTATCTTTTTCTTTGTGTCGAATGGGCTAAGTTATGCGGCTATTACTGGGATAAACATTCCTTTATGAATCAAAGATTGAAACTTGAAAATTGAATTTGCTCCGGTGAAAATTTCAAACTTTCAATTGCGTTTTCCATAAATATGATTTTTGCACTTAACATACTATGCTCAGATGTCACAGATATATTTGTTAGTACTGTCCCAGTTAGTAGGTAAAAATAACTGTAAAAATATGGTTTATTTCTGATTATGTGAATAATAATATATGAAGTAGTAATATGTGACAATGGAAAGATTGTTCCTATATCTCTGAAATAAGGTGTTGAGGTAGTGGTTTGCTCTGCTTTTCCTCTGTGATACTAAGGTCTTTGATAAGTCCCAGTAAATTATTATTTTTTTTTAAATTATATTTTTATGGACCTAATGTTATATTTTTTTTCTGGGGAGGGGAGGGAGAGAGAGGAGGATACAATAATTCAATGAGCTTTAATTAGTTTGTCCCAGAAATGAAATTGTTGAAATTGATGTGAAGGATGAATCAATGACTGATAGTACTGTTGTTTGCAGCAAAACTCATAAATATCACTAATACATCATAAAGAATTTCTTAATACAAAATCAAATTAACAGAGTGAAAGCCTATGCTCATGTCCTCAACAAAAACTCTTCAAACAATGAATGTTACCATTTCCTAGCCTACGAGTGGGAGATGGTACCAGTATGAGCCTTCTCAAGTAACGGAAAAGTTTTTTATGAAATATAAGTCTTTGCATATAATGCTTATCATGTATAGTAATTAAGGATTATTATTTTTTTTAAGAATGTATTTTATTGAAAAATTGTATGAAATTTTTATAATATTTGCCAAATTTTTCTCAAAATGTTCCTTACTGAATTTCAGGAATGTAATTAAGATATAAGTTGTAAAGTTTATTATATTCTTTTTTTTTTTTTTTTTTTAATTGGTATTCCTTTCATTTAATATTTTTGTTTATCGGTATAAATGAATTGTGTTTGAAACTTTTCGAAGCCAAAGTTAGAATTAAATAGATTTTTTGTCTTTCGTGTAGTTTTATGTGTGATAATCACTGTTATGGATATTAAAAAAAAATAAATTGATAATTGGAATATTTAAAAAAATATTTTAATGAGACTTAATGACTCTCTTTTTGAGGTTGAATGACTTATGCTGTATCAATGGAGGGTTGGTTTAATATAAAATATTGTATATAAAAAACTGTCACAACCCTATGTATACAATTTTGTATTGTGTGTTATTAAATATATATTCGTATATAAATAATCTGTGGTACATACTATGTTTATTACTATTGTTTTTATTTACAACTCGTATTTACGTCATTCCTGTGTGTTCTTAATAGTCACTATGTTACACTTAGGTGTGGAATTGATGATTGATGGAGTATAAATTTACTTTCTGAGTATTTTATAGACTTATTTTATGTAATTTCAAAGTATTTATCTACTTGATTCTGTTACATTTAATTATTTATATTCATAAAAGTTGATGATTTATTAATAAATGAAATTCACATATTATAAGTTAGTTTAGGTATAGATTGTAATTAATAATCTCTACTAGTTTAAATTTGGTCCTGTTTTCCTAGGTGCTCTCAAAAGATTATATGTGTACCTGAACAATTAGTGATTTTGTGTACTTAAAAATTAGTATTTGATAATGTCAAGAATTAAGAAAATATTTTAAAATTTCCCATAGTGATTATGAATGTAATCAAAATAATTTTGGTAAAGCTATATTGATTCTGTTAATATGATAATGAAGTCTATTTCTCATTCAAATTTCTGTTTATCATTTTCGTAACTTGTGTTATTAAAAATATTTTAATAAAGAAATAAGATTTATCAACCGAAGGATAATATTAAAAATTATTATTGTGATTTATTCTAAGTGTCTTCCTTGTATTCATTTTTGGATGTGTATATATTGATGTTTATTAAAGTCACTAAATAAAAATTATATATAGAATGTATTCATAATTTAGTATTTTCTGTGCAATAATGTTTATTCTAAATTGAATCTGATATTAAATATGCTCACTTTGATTGTGATTAACTAAGTAAATTTATGGTATTAAGTTGTGCCTTAATATTTTACACAACTTCCTGTTGGTTTGTAAAGTATCAAGAAGCAGAATAATTGTAAAATATTGTGAAGATGTACTTGATTGACACAAATAAAACAAAGTTCATTTTATGTCTGAATATTGAAATAGCCCTAAATACTGAAAGTTTAGTCAATACTATTGGCTAACATTTATCTGACTGTATCATCATACATTCTCAATTTTCTAAGATAACATTGATAAAAGATGAATGAATATAACCTAATTCAATTAAGTTATGAAAGTATATTCCTGTTTTTGTTTTCCCTATCTCTTAATTAAACCTCCTGAGTAAATGAGGAAAAATATTTTAAAATAAAAAAGGAAAAATATATTTTAAAAATTCATTATATGTTATGTAATGAAAACTAACTGTTATATAACGTTTTGTTACTTTATAACTCCGTTGGTGAGAACTAAATGACTGACCAGTCTTTAAATGTATAATTAATTACTAATCCTTGCTTTGGTACACCCTAACTGAACTGTGAACCTGTTACTGATTTTCAGAAATAAAAGGTATTTGACATACCTAAACCAGTATTTCTAAAAGTACTGGTTACAGCCACTAGATGAGTATTTTTTGTCCAGCTTCCTTTTCTAGAAAAACTAGCTTATATTTAACTAGCTAACTAGCTTAGCTTTAACTAGCTAATATTTAATGTCTAGCATTTTGTCCCTTTTTTATGACCTTGATCTACCTCTTCCAGAAAAATTGGCCTATATATCATACCTAATGCTTTGTCCAGAGGTGTGATCTCCCCTGTCTTTTCCAGAAATATGAGCTAATACCTAATACCTAAACCTAAATCACTATTATATAAAGTATGTTATATAGATAAATTTAAAGAGTGTAGAGGAACTGACTTTAGCGAAGTTTCATTGAAATCGGTACATTCGTTTAAGCGCTACAGTCTATAGCAACGGAAGTTTTTCGGCGGCCATTTTGAAAGTAAAAGGGCGGATAGTAATGTCGATGAAGGAGGATCATCCTCGAGTGATTTCTGATTTTATATCCAAATTAGAAGAAAATCGGCCCAGTAGTTTCGGAGGAAATGCGCCGACGGCGGACGGCGGAGGACAAAAATTTTTTTTTTCGTTTTTCGAATTCTACGCATCCTGACACGTGAAACCTCAAATTTTGAGAGGGGGTTAAGTTTATGAATTTTTTGGTCGATCACAATGGTTGATTATTGAAAATAATAAACCAAAATTACTATCCAACATCCAACGCCCTGAAGACGACCTGCAAAGTGGGTCGAAACGTCGGCAAAAATTAAAATTATTTATATATTTTAATTTTTTTATTTTTTTGACCGCACCCTCGACTAATTCCTTCTCATATCAAAATTAC